CACCTATCTCCTTGAAAGCTGGCAGGCTTCATGGCCTCAGCAGGGGCTAGCAGGCCTGCAGCTTTCACCCTACTGCACCTTAACACACGCAGTGTCACCCATGTAACGAGTTTTGCTTGCCCGCAGCTTGAGGTGCAGTTTCCCTGAAACCCCTGCACCTCTCTCCTTGAAACTTGGCAGGCTTCATGCCCTCAGAAGGGCCTACCATTCCTGCATGTTTCATCCAAATCAGACTAGAAATGACAAAGTTATAGACTGTTTCAAGTTTCCCCATTATAGCCTATAGGCAAAACGTCGAAATAGCAAAACTGTTTGGATGAAACTAAACAGAACAGTAGCTTCAAATCGAAATGAAATCCAAAACGAAATGCTGTTCTGTCGAAATGGAACAGTGCCATTTTACACAGCCCTAATAACCATGGGTGTGGAAAGACCCAGAGAGTCCAGAATCAAGGGTGAGGAGGTCTAAACATTCTACGTACAGTCACGATGCATGATCTCTTTTTCTTTGGCAGCTCCTGTGGGCAAGCTGGTCCCAAACATACCGGCACTTGCCTTTCCTTTGGATTAAAATCAGCAAGGCACAAGGGGACATTCATGTGTGGCCAACTCAGTGTCTCTGCCCAGGCTTGTGTGCCCTGGAGAGGTCACTCCAGGTTCACTTTATCTTTCAAGTAAGGGTTATGTTTAGCAGCTGAAATCTCACTCAGCATAATTCTTGTTCTGCGAGACAGATGCCTACTACTACTAGTACACTACACAAATCCCTAGAAAGCTTATATATGTACTGCATTTCCAAATTACAGTGTTAAGGCCATTAAAGCTCTACCTAAAATATTTAATCTTAAATCAACTTGAAAGAGGAATAGGCAAAAAATACATATGAAATGTTTAAACAAAGTGCTGGGAGTTGATGTGGACCTCAGCATACATATCATATAAATAGAAATCCTTCTGAAAAGAGACAAATTTCATCAAGTATTTGTACTGAAGACATCTGCCATTTTCAGTTTGCTTATCTCAGTTTCATACTTATCTACACCCTAAAGTTTCAACTAGGCACTTTCCTAACACCTTGCAATTGACATGTTTAGACAGCAACATTTATTTCTGGTCTTCAAATATCAGTTTCATCTGTCTCCATAATTCAAAATACCTATTAATTTGGAAATCTAAACCAGCAATTCTCAACCTTTTTAGACACAAGACATCCTCTCTCCCTCATCCTCCCTAAAAAATGCCAGCTCTTTGCTTTCACTCATTTCTTAACTCTTCTTCCATGAAAGCAAGGGGTATGGCAAGAATGTCTGCTTGCTCCACTACTATTTAATCTATTCCTGAATTATTCTAAAAGATGTGTTACCAGCGAATCAATTCCATGCACCTACAATACTGAATAATTCTACTTCTGTCTTGTATTATGCAGCTGCTGCCCTACTAATGTCAATTCCAGGCTCCCAAAGATTATACTGTTTTTCAGCGGTATCGGAGTCTTAAACAACTTAGAAATCAACAACGCTAAATCCAAGATAATCATTTCTGGGAATGCGTATGGTTTTTACATAAAAAAAATTAGAAGTGGTATCCTCATATAAAGACCTTGGAATTTATTTTAATATAAACTTGAGCTGGAACAACCAAATAAAAAAGTTAAGCATTAAAGCAAAACAAGCCTTGGGTAGAATATTTACAATACTGCAAGACAGAAGGGTGATACTGGCAGCATTAAAAGGCCATCAGGTGTAATGTAGAGTCCATTTCCCTGTAGGGAGTAGAGCAATGGTGTGCAGATCCCATGGTTCATTTAAAAAAAAAAAAAAGGGGGGGGGGGGAAATTCTAATTCTTTTAAGGCAGCTTTTATCTCCAACAAATTCTATGACAAGGCCACATGGGCTGGGGGGAGGGGAGATTTATGCAATCTAGAACAGGGCTGTTTAATGAACAAAACTCTGGCTTGCATCCACCAATGCTTCTCAAATAAGTCCCAGGACGTCATCCTCCTGTTGTACTAAGAGCCATGGAACTCGTCAACCTGGAGAAGCGAAGGCTTAGGGATGACTTGGTAGCTGCCTATAAGTACATAAGGGGCATGCATCAGGACCTGTTCACCAGAGCACCCCAAGGGATGACAAGGTCCAGTGATCACAAACTCCTCCAAGACCATTTTAGGCTGGACATAAGGAAAAACTTATTTACTGTCTGAGCCCCCAAGGTCTGGAATAGACTTCCCCAGAGATGGTGCAAGCACCTACTCTGGACTCTTAAGAAACATTTGAACGATTATCTTGCTGGGATCCTTTGACCCTAGCTGACTTCCTGCCCCTTGGGCAGGGGGCTGGACCTGATGATCTTGTGAGGTCCAGCCCCAATGTTTATGAAATCTATGACATCTATGAAATGTAAGCAATTCAGCTAAATTAAGAACTTTGAATTACTGGATGAAAATTAGAGCTTGTACCCATATCACATACCCCAAGAAGTGCATTTTTATACAAGTTTCTCTTCTTCCAAAGATACCCTTATTTGAATGGTTAAACAACATTTATGTTCTCCTCCAGACAAATGGCCTGGGAGATATGCAGTCACTGTCCTAATATTTAAAACCAGACATAAATTTAAGAAAATCTATATGCTGGCATCTTTCAAAGATGCAGGCAGTGAGATGATCTCAAACTTAGAGATTAATAAAGCACTCTGGCCTGGAAGCACAAAACTGCTATGAAGCACACAGTTGTGAACAACAAAAGGACATTACTAGACTGTGATTCACTCTAATGATCTCATGGGCAGGTCGGACCCCATATTCTGACGGAATACATTCTTATAGGAAGAATGAGATAGACGACTTACTATTTGCAGTCCTGTTCATTCTTCGAATAAAATCAGGGAAAAATTACTCTCTCCATTCATGGAAAGAAACTTTAAAGTACCGGGTTAATGAAATAAAAACAAATTGGTTCTTCTCTAACAACTTTCCTCTATTCCCTGGGTGTATTCTTATTCACATTACTTGCACAAGGGCCCAAATAAAACAGAAATCCCCCCCCGTTTAAAATTTTTTATTCTACTACTATTGTACATCATATCATTTAATCTATTTTTATATCACTGTATGGTGTTTTTAAAAACTTTTAAACAGGTAAAATGTGCAATTTTATTGTATAATTTATGAATAACTGTAAGAGATATCACTGTATTATTTTAAAAGCCTTTGTCAGTTTTTGCAAAAACTGTAAATAAGCTGCTACTCCTGCGGAAAGACAGAGCAATTCTACTGTAAAGCACTCAAAGACCATGTCAATTCCTATCTGTAATTTTCTGGGTGAGAATCATATCCAAGTGTTTGCACACCTAAAAGTGGTAATGTGTGGCACCCTGCAGGACCCTTAAGAGGATCTCGTCATGGCACCCTGACTAAAAAAAAAAATAATAAACAAATAAAAAAAAATCAAAAAACAGTGCTTGAAACCATTTCTCCACCATCACATTGCAGAGAGCACAAATACAGATCAACATCCCTGTCTGTCCCAAGTTGTCCTTTTTGTTCCCAATATTTTATTAACAGCCTTAAATTTTCTCTTTGAGTATTATCTGAAGAAGTTCTTTCCAGCATCCCTTTTATGTGGTCTTCTAGATGCTCAACAAATCCCTCTTCTGCAAGAATCTGGCTTCACTCTTAACATTAAGGTCCCCTATATTTCCTCCTTTTTCAGAAAAAAAACACTTTGAAGTTAAACTGCTAGCCCTGGTGCATTTCAGCATGTGTTATACTTTCAATTCAGTGAATAAAATTTCCTGAGGCATTTGCTGTTAAAGGCATTTTTGAGAGTTTTCTATAACTGGTATACTTCTACTTTCACATCCTATATATTGCTGTGGAAAAAACATTTGATTTGAAGCTGCAAAGGTTGGTATTCATGTTGCATATTTTCTGTACTCAAATCTTATTTAAACAGGTGAATCTAGCTGCTGATTTACCACTTCATTAGTATCATTTTTTCCTTGATACTCCCATTGACTTGTACAACAGAGGTCTCATGCTTCAGTATTATACTAGAAGATTTTAATTTTGCTGATGACAGTTCTTCCAAGTGAGAGTTCATTAACATACAAGACCAAAAGATTATTCAGCAAATGCATATAAATGTACTGAATTAATATCAAAGAAATGGAAGTATGAGTCAGTTTACATACTTTAGCAGTAATGTACAAGTCCTCATTTCATCATTATGTAGTATTTTATATATTTTATTGTATGCTAATAAAAAAACATTAGGTTTTATACCTCATGCATTTTTTACAAAATGCAGCACGCTCACTTAAAGTCTGGTCTTGAGCAATAGGTTTAACAAACACTGGTGTCAAATATGGATTGACTGTTATTGCCATTGACTTAGCGACGAGGAATGATGCATCCTTGCATCACTATGACTTGTACAATACGGGAGTACACCGTTCCTCATTGCTAAGTCAATGGCAATGCCAGTACCAAACAGGAGAAGTGACAGAATCCATCCTCATTTCACACTAACACCTACATTGAAACTTTTGGTCAAAGCAACCTTTAACTGAGCATGCCGTCTTGTATGAATCCATTATTTCGTATCAAGCCTTGTTTATTTCTTATTCACATACCATTGCAAGACATTCCAGATTGAATACCAATTTTTAATTGGCTGTCAAAGGATTTCTTAGATGTTAGTTAAGGTTATTTTCAGAAAGGGTTTTGGTGACTCAGTGAGCTCTTCAGATTATATTTAGGGTAAAAGTCTATTCAAAATAGTGTTGCTCGGCATTTTGGCCTAGCAGGCCAGATGAGTGTTGTAGGGTCAGTCTGCAACTGGATCAGACCCTGCACACTAGGATTGGAGCCCCACCTCGTAGTATGCAGGGCCACAGCTCACAGGGCTCCTAATGGACCCCTAGGAAGCCTAGCAGGCCAGAGGACTTGGCACCAGGTGTCTGGACCTGACCCACAGGATGAAGGGTTGTTGAACACCCCTGGTCTAATACATGATCTTCCAAGTGAAAATCTAGCCTGCTTTTTCCTTAGCTTTGCCTTATCCGCTTCAAAGTGATAGCAATTTCTTTCAGTCCCTGGGGCATAATGGAGGTGAAAACAGAAGGGGGAGAAGCAGAGTCTTACCTGATGGGGCTCTCCTCAAGCAGCAACTACTACTGTAGCAGCATGAACTCTGATTTCTGCCACTGAGAAGCAGACACCAGCATAGGCTCCTTGTGGGACCCTCCTGGTGCGTTGATCTCCCTCCTCAACCCCCTGGGTACAGGGTGCAAAGCACCTCCCTGGGTACACTGCTGGGTACAGGGTCTGTGTCTACGTAGCTCATGTCCACTCAGAGCTGCACCTGCCATGGCAAAGACTCTTGGGAGAAAGGGCCAAGTTGGCACCTAGGGCTGGTGCCCTTCACCCTGCCCCACCCCAGTTACGTTACCAATTCGCTACTTTTATTCTGTTCGACATGAACTTGCAAAATACTTTGCTGATACACAGCCAAATCTCACCAGTTCTTGTTGCTGGTTAGAACATGTACTTTTTTATTGTTCTATTAATTTTTTTCTTATTCTGGAGAGTTTAGCAACTTTGGGTGTGCAGCCCATGTGCAGTTAGCTCTCTGGTTTGTCAGCACGACTCCTGGTCAAAGCTGTGGGATGAAACTGCCACCATTTCCCTCCTCCACCCCCAACCTTTTCCTCTGCTATCAAATTACTAGTTACAAATCAGAAGAGGAGTCAATAGTTGTATAGTTAAGACTAGCAGCTGGCTCTAGAACTGCCACTTGTTTAAAAAAATTGTAATCTATGCCACACGTTTTTAAACTTTGAACTAGAACACAGCAGGACAAGGGCGCAACATTGTCATTCCTCACAAATAGCAAAATAACTGGCAATTTCATAACGTATCTTGCTGTTTGGATAATAGGGTAGAGAAGAAAACTTAGATTTGCAAAATTTATGTCCTGTGTAAACTGAGCTGCTTTTTCCCGGACCTTTCTTAGGTATTTATATGGTACCCATAAAATGGCAAGTATTCCCCTACATTAAGCCACCCAATTTTTGTATACATATTGCTACTATGGCAGCACCATAGTACAATATATTTCTAGTTTCCTTCTACTTATTATCCTTTCATTTAAATTTTCCCCCTCTTTCTGGTGTCCAAATATTTAACAGGTCAAAGTCTAGTTTTACAGCAACCATCAGGCAGCAATGGTTTGTTTAGTAATGATGAGTGCCTGTACACGTGCTGCTCTGGAGTACTGTAAACGACAGCGTGTCAGAGCAGACTCAATTAATAGTCTGCTGGAGCGTGGTACTTGCCATGCTCCAACCAGCCTCCACGTGTCGTGTATCAGCATCCCTGCGGTTCAAAATGGTGGCGGGAGCACTTGAACTAAAGCTAGTCAAACACGCCCCCCCACCACCATTTTGAGCCACAGAGATGCTAATACATGAGACACTGTCTCACTGCCTTCCAAAATGATAATAAAGATATTGAACAAAACCAGCCCTAGGACCGACCCCTGGGGCACTCCACTTGATACAAGCTGCCGGCTAGACATTGAGCCATTGATTATTACCTGTTGAGCCTGACAATCTAGCCAGCTTTCTATCCACCTTACTGTCCACTCATTCAATCCTAGCCCTGTTACTATAAAGTGGGGCAGTCCCTTTAAAGACAGAGTCTTCAGGACACAGCCTCTATTATTTTTCCTTTGTTATAGCCCAGAGGCTTAGTGTTTATGTTACAGTTCAAACTGGAGGTTTGGGATGAGGCTTGAAGGAGAGGTTGAGGCCTCCTTAGTGCCTAGAGGCACATAACTACCTTGAACCCTGCCAGGACAGGCTTAAGGGTCCAACAAGCATTGAGCCATAGTGGAATCCGGTAAATAGCACAAGGCACAGAGCAACAGGAGCCAGAGAGCCCGGTGCCAGAGAAGTACAGAGACACAAGGGACAGAGCCCAGCACCAGAGCTGCACAGCAGACAGGGGTCAGGGGCCTAGAGACAGGAAAGGGGGGAATGAAGTTAGTGCCTCAAAGCCAGGTCCAACACAGTGGGCATAGGCTAGAAGGGCCAGCCACATTAAAGGGGCAGTGGCTGAATAGGATGAGGCCCAGAGGTTCAGTCTTGTAACACCTGCGAAGCATGGGGCATGGTGCAGGGGTGGTATGGAGTCATGTAATTAGCCCTTACAGCAGGAACTTTTCACCTCCAGGTGTCCTCTGCAGTGAAGACCCAATCTGGGAAGCCCTAGGGCAACCTCCCCTTTGAGAACCAAAAGAAACATCAAGACATGGCAGGTGAGTAAAGGGGAGCTTGTTCCCAGAAGTGGATTAAAATAAGGGGGACTCTGGGGCACCTCCAGGGGTTTTTGACTGCCTGGAGTCCTTGGGGATGGCACCCTGTTACATTGGTGCATTGTCCAGGAAGATTCCCAAGGCAGTGTGTGACATATGACAGTGGTTTATGCAAAAGGAGAGAGCCTTTGGGTACGATGAAAAGTTGGGTCCAATGAAAAAAATAAAAATAAAAATGGGCAAGTGCTAGCCTCAGACCTGGCTGTGCAACAACAGATACAGTTATTGGAACTTCTAGTCCATGCAGTCCAGGATCTGCAGGACCAAACAGAAGGACAGCAGTAACTGTCAGAGAAGGTGATCATGCACATGTAGATGAAACAGGTGCCCTAGGGAGGGGAGTTCGAGAGGCCAACCCCGCAGACTACAAAGAGGCAAAGGAAAAGAAGAGGAGAGCCAATGTGTACAGAAGAGAGGGGTGATGGGCTGAAGTGTTGATTTGGAGCACTAGTTGGCCAGGAGCCTGAATACCAGGCTGTGCTGGTGGTGGATATACAGATAGAGGAACAGAAGGTACAGGCTATGGTGGACTCAGGCTCGACCCAGGACCTAGTGTGGAGAGACTTTGTACAGGGAAGAAAGAGGTAAGTGGTAGATCAGATAGCCACTCGATGCCCGTGTAGGGACTCCCTGATACATGCT